TTATAGATATCTAGTGTTGAAATTTCATGTTGCAGCTGAACACCCCTCACCTCACCCTCTCATTCCAAACATGAAAAAGAACCTGTGGTAGCTTCAGTTGTCATAAAAATTCAAAAGGTGTTTAGTTTGTCCAGTCTGGACTAATGTAAAAAACATGGCAGCCTCCGTAGAGAGGACCCCCCTCAATGTAAATATAAAGTATTTAAATATAAAGGGCTTTTTCTGGGGTAAAGAAAACTATAATTCAAACAATTTAGATGAAACGAACTAGTGAGCATCCTGAGGATTATTCTACATGAAATATCTGCCAATAGTTCTCTTTCACCTAAATCTTACACACTGGACCTTTAAAAACTCACAATCTCTGAAATTGGGGGTTCAAGTATGTCGTAGTTACCCAAATACATTCTGGAGTTATTTAAACTTTTACTCTATATTTCGCACAGGAAATGTAAGGTCCTGTGTACATTTTCAGGACCATGAATCTTACTTTGTCTATTATGCTAGCCCATATCAGGGAAACGTTACTATCGTTAAAGGTAGTTTTAAGGTTTTTATATATCACAGTACATCTAGGATTGTTTTCCATAAAGACGAACTTTAAGTGGAACAGAGCTTATTGGTAAAAAGAAACCCATCCCATTTAAAAGCTCAGTTTGAATTAATAACACTGATGAACCATAAATCGATTAAATTGCAGATTTCACATGAACATCATCTGTGTTTTTGTCTCAAAATGACTGATGTGTTCGCTTGTGGATTTGAAGGATATTTTATTTTATTTCCCAAAATCTAACTACAAACAATAAAGCACCACTTTCCTCTGGATCATATTTCAATACTTTATTAAGTTGTAAAGCTGCTCACACATCAGTGTATGTGAACTTGGAAAAACTGCACAACAGAAATTAACTGAACAGTGTTTGGTTACTTATAGCATTCATAGCATTTATTTTAAAGCTTAATTGAAAGGTAGGAGGACAATACAATGTCTAAACTAAACAATATATAACAAGCTAGCTATCTCATAGAATACATATTTTTTAAATATAAACACACACAATAAGCTTGTAAAGCGTGGAGGTCAGACAGTTTTCATGTGCTTTTGTTGGAGAAATGATGGAAATGATCGTCTCCACAGGCCAACAATGTGGCATGAAACTTCCTGGGACGATTGGGATCCTAACAGAAACAGAGTGAGTCAGGATCAATACAGAGTGAGACTGTGGAAACATGACAGGACTGTCCTCGTGTTTGTTTATCTCACCTGTATGGGGTAAGCACAGGTGGGGACGTAACGGATCACAAGCCCACAGCGCCTCCTCTGGGATGTGTTGGCATTACTGGCATGGACGAGGAGCCCGTCATGGATCTTTTAAAACAAATCCAAAATCCTATTTAATCCAACTTCAGTTGAATTTATACCTAAACTGTCATCTTTAGCAAAAACAAAAGCAACTCACAGACATCTGTCCGGCCAGCAGAGGACAAAACACAGCTTCATCTGTCTGCACCAGCTCCTCTGGGATCTCCTGGTTGACTGACAGCATGTTTCCCAGGCGGGTGGCTTGGCGATGGGGCAACATGCCGGAGCAGTGGCTGCCTACAGGGGCAATTAGTAGAAAAAAAGTTGAACTATGTGACGCAGGTTGTTGAAAGTAAATCTAATGACGTTTTTCCACTCTAGAAAAATAACATAAAGGGATAAATGGTCACAAGAAGAATAAAAGAGTCGCTGAGATACCTGGGATGACCTGAAGGGCGCCGTTTTCCTCCTGTGAGTCGTCTAAAGCGAGCCACACAGAGAGAACAGGGCCACCGGCAATACCCCAATACCTGCAAACACAACAGTGACACTTAGACAAAGCAAGGCAAGACAAAAGAGGTCTCTTTTTCTGGACTATAATCTACCTCATATCCTGATGCCAGGCCACATATGGAAGCACATTCTCTCCGTCATTCCCATCAAGTTTGGTTCCTCCTCCAACATTCTTCTGGATGTTACCTCCTTTGAGTGTTGGGTATTTGCAGATGAAGCGGGAGTCCAGCAGGATGACGTCAGGGCCCAGGATGGTTTTGACAACTTGCAGGATACGAGGGTGTTTGGTCAGGCTCATCACCCACAGATACTGAAGGTGAACATTGTGGAGGCTGTACTGGGTGTACGCTTCACCTGGTGATACACACAGGCACACATATAATATCTAACCACTGACAAATAGTGTGATTCTTGAGCCTTATCACATCTTTCTGATCCTGTTTAATTTAGTTTCATGTGAAACAAAGAACAAGGCAGGGTAATTTTTTTAAGGAACTAAAGCGGGGGATTTCTATTCATTGCAGTGCATTTGGTTATGACTTCGATTAAATCCTGCCTTCTTTGAATAACTCGGACCTGCTGATACTCACCAAATTCCCCCTCCAGCTCAGAGAAGGCGTGTCTGGCCTCTTTCAGCTCTTCGTGGCTCAGCACAGGCAAAGCTGAGAGGAAGCCCTGCTGGTTGTAGACCTCCCGCTGCTTATTTGTGGATGTAGTCATCTCTGCTTCACTGTGTCTCTGAAGATGCCGCGGGCTCTCTGCTTCCAAACTGTATGAGGTGTAGAGACGGTTTGTTGCTGGAGGTTAGAGGAGGGAGAGAACACAGAGGGAATGTGAAGTTTAAATTTGGTGAAACTCAGTGAAAGAACAGGATATTTATCCTGTTTTCCATTAAGACAAGTTTACTTGTTTATGGATACACCAAAATGAGGCATGACACACCTAATGGGCTGATGGGAAAAACATCTAACCACATAGAGGTGGGGTCACAGTGAGCCCCACCTTATTCTTCCTGTCCTCCATGACCATTATAAAGCTGTGACTTCACCTCAGGACCCATTTGAACCAAGTTTATTAAGAGCCTCTTTATTGAATTATTATTACCTGTTGGCTAAAGACACACCCAGAGGTGAACATTGCACTTGTTATAAAAATACAAACTCTTACATTCATAACTTGTTAAATTAAAACAATAAAATACAAATGATTAGAAGTACTTCCTGAGTTTTCAATTGTAAATTACTGCATGAACCAAAAAACAGCATCCTGTGAAGGTAACGTCACATCTAATTCTTTTTTATATATTCTGTTGGTTTAAACTTTTTCTGACATCTTAAGATATTAGTAAGTACTAACTACAACTACTTCAGTTTGTCTCAATACCTGTTTGCTCTTCGGTCTTCTCTTCCTCTCTCGCTTCCTCTGAGTCTGGATTCTGGATTCTGTCATGCTCTTATATACTGTACACAGCATCACTGGAAAAGTCACACCTCAGCATTTTAACACATGTTGTCATACATTCCAAGAAAAAGGGGAATGCCATGATTTGCAGTAAAGGTGTGGTTGTACATCTACAGGCATTGTTTTCAAAAAACATGAAACCTGCAGTTCTCAGAGGGTATACAGTTCCTTGCCTTTGTTATCTCCACACAGAGGTCATGTTATTACACTGGGAATAAGACAGACTTACCGTCACACGCGTTATTTCTGGTGCTGCCCTTTATGATGAATCGACATTTTTTGTTTGTTCACAGTAAATCATTATTCTGTCGGATTATCTTTTCCAGTCGTCACAGCCTCATATTTAATTTTTCCTCTTCCTTGTCAGGAGATGATTGAATGGCCGATGACTGATCACAGGACAAAGACAGTGTTTCATATTCTGTATGATGAGTGTGTGAATGTAGCCGAGCCTCTGTGAGAAGAGAAAATCCCAATGCTCTCATTTTAATATGAACAACATTCTCATCTTTGTCTTTCCCAGTTTCCCTATAAAGTGTTAGGATAGACACGTTTGTGTCAATATGCATGAATCATGTAAAAAAATATATTTTTAAAGAGCTGCCTCCTATTTGTTGGATATATGCAATTATTTTAAAGATTGTGAACAAATAGTTGGATTAAAGAAAAAAGAAAAAGTGAGATGGATGTAAACTTTCCGCACAACTTAAAACACATGATATGGATTGTGTCATTCTTGCAATTCCTATTTTATTAAATTGTTTTGATTATTTAACATT